CCTCTTACAGCTCAGGTTTTAAAAAGCCAGGGGGCTGTTAACGTACTGTTCTTTTGGGCCCCGTTTCTTTCCCGGGTTACCCGAATCGTTCTCGGTATGTAACTCCTGGAATTTTGACCCGGGTCGCACCGTCCAGGCTAAAATGCGATGCTTTTGCCTTTGTTAGTTAGCTAGTTGGTGGCCTGTTTGTTGGCGGGTGTATCGCGTCTGTAATACACTGGTAAGCGCTTGGGCTGATGCTGTATGTGTAGCTCCAGCCAAGACTGGAGTGACTTACAAAACTGTTCTGACTGACTTTATGTATGCTTATGTGGAGCTTTTTTTTTTTTTTTTTTTTAAACTAAATTACAAATATTTTTAAACTGAAAATACAGTTTGAATGTCTGTATATCTAGTGATAGGTATGTTATTCTACAGACACTCAACAATTTAAAAAGTAATGTTTTGTTTAAATGCAAGATACTTAAACTTTCTAATGGAATTTTTAATGTAATTAATGAGTACAAAAAAGAATTAATGTGCCTGGTAGAGCCTAAATTTCTTATAGTTTCAAATTTGATGAACTGTAAGCAATTGTCTGGTTTCCTTATGTGTAATAAACTTAGTACTGATGGTATCTGTTGTATGTTTTCTTTCAGTGGCTCTCTGACAGGAAGAAAAGAGCTTTACAGAAGAAAGATGTTGGTGCGTTGTCCCGTCATATAGTCCTTAATATGCGGTTGCAGGCATGCAACGTGAAAGTCCAGAAATAGACAAAAAAAATTACAAACGGTTAAAAGCAAGTTAGTTACAGCTAGCTCATATTTTGATAGCTACAAAATTAAATGTATAAAAAATTAAGCTTAGAGGACCATGCTTTAACTTCCTATATAACTTAATTTGAATAGAATATTATCAATGTCATTTTAAGTTCCAGGCATTCAGTATTAGGATTGTAGATTGAACAAAATCACAATGGGTACATTCCATGCATAGTTTATGATAAAGCCCAACTGCAGAATCCTTTATGTGTATTCTGTATTTAGAGCAATGCAGGAACATCATCATTTTAGCCTAAGCTTATTCTGCAGAAAAAGGATGACCGTTTAAGTACCGTAAGAAGTCCCGTATAAAAATACTCTCTCAGCTGAAGCACTTAAAAGAGACGTAACAGGATGATGGGATATATTATGCAACCTCTCAATTGTTAGCAAATTAGCAATTACATATTTACATATTGGCTAATACATATTTGCTAATCCATTATATAGTAATATGTTACATATTTGCTATCTCAGAGTAGACATTTATTCTACATGAAGGTTGCCCACTTCTCAGGGTTAACAGACTATATTAATCTGCATGGAGCATAGCTTAAATACACTTAAAAGATGAAGACTTAATTTTTTTGTGTTCAATTCCTTCAATGTACTTCCATAAGAAACCTTTATACTTTTTGACTGATACAATACTACCATCTTTAAAAATAATTTTATTTTGTTTCTTTTATAGATATTCGTAGAAGAATTGAACTTATTCAGGACTTTGAGATGCCCACAATTAGCACAAAGATTAAGGTATCAAGAGATGGACAGTATATTATGGCAGTTGGTGAGTTAACTAAATGTCTCTCTATAGCAAAGGCCGAAAGTACTAGGAAATCTTGAGCACAGAAGACCTTACTATTTCAGGTAGATTTGATAGAGTTTGTTTCTTAAATGGAGTTTGAGTTTACTGTTACGGTGTGATAGAACCAATGTCTTGGTATTGTGACGCTGTGCTGAAACATTTGGTTTTGGAATACAAGTATTAGTTTTTAATTGTATTTAACTGTATTAGTTTTTAACTGCTAAAAAGAAGTCCCTAACTATTTTTGTTTTATATGTGTATATACATTTGCTGAAATAACTTCTGAACACTATTGTTTGAGTATTGTTTTAAGTGTCAGCAGATAGTACTACATTTCATAACCTTCGAAGGAGGATACAAACCTGAATACTTTAAGTAGGACTTAATAGCATAAGAAGACTTGATCTTTCAAACTTACTGGAAGATATTATTAAATTTTAGAGAATGTATCCAGTGATCAAAAGAACCTATGTATAGGTAGAGGACTTTCAGGCATCAAAGCCAAAAGAATCTTTAAGGTTAGTTACCAAAAGGCCTCTTTTCCCGGTCACAGGCACTTTGGTAGGTCTTGTTGTTTTCCAGGATCAGAATTCTTGTAGTGGAAATGCCGTGAAGTCTCTATATGTAAGACCTTATAGTCGGAAAACATGCTTTAGTGTTATCTTGTTGTTCAATTTTTTTTTTTATTAAGGATCAGTTTTTTCTTTCAGGAACTTATAAGCCAAGGATCCGCTGTTTTGATACCTATCAGTTATCCCAGAAATTTGAAAGGTGCTTAGATTCTGAAGGTTAGTACAAGATATGACTGCTTACTACCTTTCACATATAATTCAGATTTGACTGAAGTGCATGTTTCCTTCCCTATGTTGAGAGGGTCAGAATGTGTTTTGGGGGGAACACAGGAATCTAGAGGGAGATGTCACCTGGTCTTTATCCCCGTGCGCTCTTTCTCTCATGTGCTCTTTCTCCTTTCCTCCCTTGGAGTCAAATGATGAACGTACCGTTTACTTTGAGCCAATAAGCATGGGGCTTGGAGAGTGAATGGGGCCAAAGGCCACAACTCTGAGGAACGCTGTGTCTATGTATGACAGCTGGGTGGCAGCAATTTCTCCGTTCTTTTCTCTTCCATCTGTGAAACACTAAGTAGAGGAATGCAGTGTGATGGTTGCACCATCATTGCTTCAGTGAATTCTCATTGTTTTCCTACTGGAGCCCAAGCTCACTAGGTGAGTTGCCGAAGAAAGAGCATTCCCTGAGTTTTTTTTGTGGAAGCAAGGGTATAGCATAGGCAGCACACCTAATTACACCTTGTTTGCTAGTATTTTGGATGGAGAAAAGCTATAGTGGGGACAACACGGAGCCATTGAGACAACGAGTGAGGGAGAAGCTGCTGGAAGTTAGAGTATGGAAGGAGATCAGAGCTGCTGTGGCTCTGAGTTTTAGGAAGCATGGATTTGGGGAAGGTTATTTTGTGTGTGTGTGAAATTTTAAGTTAAAATATGAAGACTAATGGCTGAAGGCTGGGATACAAATATGGAAAAAACAGTGAGGGATGAGTAGAGAGTGGCAGAAGTCCCGAGTCATTACAGAAAAGTGAAACCGTGGTCAAGTTGTGATGTGTGTGAAACTGTGAAGTAAAAACTAAAATTGAGAACCAGTGAATTAGGTCAGGAAGAGAGTAGCAAAGCATAGCGGTGGTTTCTTACACTATGCCTGAGTTCTACCAGGAATTGTGTGGTGAAGGGACAGTGCTGCAAAATAGTAAGAGGGGTGTAGGTGTAGGGGTGAGGGTTGAGAGTGGCAAAGGAGAAGGAGAGGTGACAGGAGTGAGACCTGATTTTAAAAGAGTAAAAGTCATTGTAATAGTGAATGCTTGCTGATATGTTTGAGCTTAAAGTCAACTTTTTTAGAACTGCCATCTCAGTAGACTGTGAGGTTATATTTACTTTGAAATTAGCATAGAGGCACTTCAGGTAACTTGAAATAAGCTAGCTCATTTAAATGCAACTGGCTTAGCTGAAGCAGCTACTACCTCATGTTCCTGACCCAGCCCATTTAAAGCTAGTTGAAATTCAATACGTTTTGGTCAGTGTAGATAATAGCTTTCAAATTTGTGATTATTGGATCCTCAAAGCTTTTTCTGTGGAAGTGCTGACATTTTAGAAAGTTCATATATGCAGATTTCTGTTTATTATATCTGAACTCATATATTTTTTTTTTTAATCCTCTTTTGTGCATTGTCAAAGATTCACGGACGGCGCACACACTGAAAAACCATTGAATTAGGCCTTCCTTGAACCAATAAATACATGGTTGAGCATTGTGTTAAAGAAAGTGTGAAATGTACAAGAATGATGAAAAGATTACAAGATGCTTCATAGGTTTCTAAAGTTTTAGAAAAGTACTTACTATTTTGCAAATGAAGTTCTATAATTAAAGATTTTATCACAGCGCCTACATGATGCATTGACACCTGTGGGGGATACTTACATGACTAAAGCTTAACATAAATGTAAATATTTTCAGGAGTTATGCCAATGTTTGCAAATAACTTTACTTGATTAGTTGACTTAAAACTTTCCTGTTCTCTCCTCTAGTGGTTACATTTGAGATTTTATCAGATGATTACTCAAAGGTATGTTTAATGTTTTCAATGCATAAATGAGAAAGTGTGTTTAATGTGTATATTAAAATGCATTTTCATATATAGTAAAGGCAGTCAATCACAAGTTTTGGAACGGAAGAATTAAAGAAAAAAGTAAACATTTTTATACCTTCAGAATGTTATTTTCTTTACTTTGTGCTATAATTTACCTTCCCACTTTTAAAGTCTTTTGCCTGTAGTAGAGGAAAAAAAAATCAAATAACGAATAAAATAATGTGAAAAGCAGAATTAATCATTCTTTTTATGTTAGTATATAATCAGTCAGTTGTGACAGCAGCCCAGATGCACCATTTTTGAAAGGTGATATAGCTACAACTAAGTAAATAGCCTGATCTGTGAGTGCTGTTATAGTCACAGTGATCTAAGCATGTGAACGAGGCAAAAATGTTGGAGAGAAGTAATATCTTTTGTTATATATGAACTGCTGTAACTGGAGAATACAGTTGAGTTCTTAGGCCCGTGAGCCTTTCTTCAGGTCTGGTACAGATACCACTTCTGATTCTGCTGAGGACCTGAAGAAGGCTTTAAGTGCTTGAAAGCTCATGCGTTTTCTCCAGCTGCCACAGTTGATGTAAAAAAGATGTTACTTCCTTCTGTCTATAAACTTTCATTTGCTGATTCAGCAGGATGTTATGGGCCAATTAAATATGAAACTTAATCATGTAAATAATTTTGCTGATTTCGCTGGGATAAGCTGTTATTTCATAGTTAAGTGTTTACTGAAGTATTTTTCTGAGAAGAGACCTTAGCGTTTCTGCTGTGTGTTTGTTTTAACAGTTTTCCATTTTGTCAGAGACGTTATCATCTAGCTTTCTAGCTCTAGTCTTTTCAAAATCTCCCCCTATGAGTTTTCCAAGAATGCGTATGAATTCAAGTAGAAGGCAGCACTGATGATATAGTTCAGTTATCTCCAACCTATCTGTTTGTCTGTGGGAATGCTTCCTGTTGTAAAGACCAAACAGCTATTTGGGTGAGAAACGTATGTTCACGGATCTGTTTGTGACTGGTTATTGGTCTTGTGCATGTCTTAAACTAAAATTGGTACTGTATTCCAGGCTAGAGCCCTAGCTTGGCAATTTAATACAACCTTATCTTCGATTTTATTTTCCAAAAGTGTACCAAATCATTAGAAAGAAAACTGTTTTCAGGTAGCTGTTTCATTTATGCCTTAAACGTAATAAAAAGGGACAACAATATTTGAGAAATTACACTTGAAACACTTAGAGAGATAGAAATATTGGTAGGAAAGGGACCTCTGGAGCTCATTTAATTCTTGAAGCAAGACTGTTGCCAGTACTCTCAAAAACTTAGAGCTTGGAGATGCCATAAACTCTCTGGGTAAATTGTAAAAAAGCTGTGCTGCGTCTTTGTAAGTAATTTTTTTTTGTTATTAATATTCAGGCTGACCCTCCAAACCTCAGATTTTCACTGTTGCTTTAGTGTTGTATGACTGAGAAGATCTTGAGTTTATCATCTTTGTAACTGTACTTTAGTTGTAGGCTGCTATTAGATTGTCCCGGGAGGTCCTCTTTGCTTGACTCAACAAGGCAGGTTCCCTCAACCTTTCCTTGTAGGTCAAGTGTTTTATCCCTTGTCTGTCTTGATAGCCCTCTTCATCCTCTCAGCATCCTCCCTGAAGCGGAAGGCCCAAAACTAGACACACTGCCTTACGAGCACTGAGTATAGCGCAGAGAATAGCTTTCACCCAGTCTGCTGCCATGATGCTCCTAATGTAGCCTTTTGAGGCTGGTTTGCCTTTTCAGACTGGAAACATGCTGTTAGCTCATATTCAAATTGTTATCCGCAATCCCAGTTGCACTTCTGTGCTCTCCTAGTTTTAGATTGAGAAGAGAGTGAAATCTTTTCTTCCTCAACCTTCTGCAAAAAGGCATGGCTTTCCACTTACTGTTTTTTTGCCACATACCAGTAGCTCTGCTTTTACTACCCAAAGGTTCTAGTTTCCAATAGTGACTGGAATTAATGTAATAAGAAAGAAAGGCAAACATAATTTCCACTGAATTGTATCCGATGCTAATAAAAGAAAACATAATGTCTTTAATTCCAGTACTGTAGAGAGAGAGAGAGAGAGAGAAGAATGAATATGCACATTTCTTCTTGAAGATGAGAAATGCATCATTCTCAGTGAATCTTCTCTCCTCCTAGTAACAGTTTTTTGATGACTTACTATTAGTTTGCTGTTAATTTGCTAACAGAACATGATACTGGTATTTGATTTAAACATGATTTAATTTTTTGTTTTTCTCATGAGTTTACTTAGCTTCTGTACTGCATGAAGCTGCAGAAATTTCATCTTTTGTGGTGACTTAATTCCAATAGAGAAAAGATTTGATCTGGGTGTTGCTTTAAACAAATAAGTAAAGAGCTTTGCTTCGTTTAGACCTACAATTAAAAATATGAAGGTATTAGGCACACAATTGGTTGGGATGTCTATGAAGAACAGAATCACAGGACGGTTATGGTTGGAAGCGACCTGTGGATATCAGCTGGCCCAACCTCCCTGCTCAAGCAGGGTTGGCTAGAGCAGGTTGCCCAGGACCGCATCTAGGTAGGTTTTAAATATCACCAATGATGGAGACTCTACGACCTTTCTAAGCAATCTGTACCAGTGTTCAACCATCCTCACAGTGATGAAGTGTTTATGTTCAGGAATATCATTGTTTAACATCACTGTGCAGCTGCATCTGTACTCTTATATGAAACAGTACTTACACTTCTGAAAGACGATATTCCACTTTGTTTTGGATCTTAGAAGGTCCTGCCTATGAATAAAAGTTGCAACATTAGGGTTTCTGATAACAGAAAAGCTGCAACAAAGAGAGGACTGCTGATAAATTTTTGTGACGTAATAGTCCACGTGAGTACTTCCTTCATGTCCCATAAGGGAAGAATATAGAGTTATGTGAATGAAGGTGACAGATTTAAAACCACAATGGTACTTGAGCTTTCCCAAGATTCTCATCGTTATTGGCATTGCTAACAATATAGCCCAGCGGTGGGGAATTTCTAAAAATTCTGAACTGTGTACCAGATATGTAAAGATATATGGACTATATCTGTTCTAAAGTAAGCTAGCACCTATCTTCTGTCCTAAGCTAAATAGAGATGAGGCTCAGAGTCAAGAGTTTTCAGTCGTTGTCCTTACCGTTATTTGCATGCTTCCTTGCATGATTTTGGGCCAGACTAACTGTTACTCTACAACGCGGTGCTTGGGCATGATTTGAAGTATAGCTCGACTCTGTTGGACGTTGTGGGTGGTACCAACTGTGTTTGGAGTGGGAAGAGTTCATTCTTGTGGATATGAGTTGTGCCATGTTAACGTACCGTCAGGACTATAGGGTAGGTTCTGGCTTATTTTACCTATTTGAGGGTAGAGAGCTAGCCTTCTATTTATGCCTCACTGTGGATTCTTCCAGGCCTGAGATGTTTGTCTAAATTTCAGAAAAGAGACAATAACATCCTTATTCAGTTCAAAGGTCATTGGTGTCATTTATTGAAACGCTGCCTTGTATCAGGATATAGTAAGTAGGCCTAATAGCTATTAATATGTTGTGTGCATGGTACTGTACCTGAAAGAAATTAACTCTGGTCTCTGGAGGAACAGCAGACGTTAATTTTGGTGCCACATAATACAGGTAACTATACTGCTTCTGGCTGCAGAGTTAGTTTAGGGTATCACAGATACTCCTGTAAACATTCATTTAATCTTTATTAATAAAGCGCTTTGTTGTGGCTAGTGAGAATGATGAAGCACTTGTCAATTCTGTCGTTTTAATATAAATGATTTACATGGGTTGCAATAACCCTGTGTGAGTTTGAAAAAATCACTGGAATTTGTGTTGTAACACCAACAGAGGAGTTGTTGCTGTCTCCTTCTGTATATTGCATTCTCTCTACTTTATTTTCAGATTGTCTTCTTGCAGTGTGACAGATTTGTGGAGTTTCATTCACAGCATGGCCACTACTACAGAACAAGAATACCAAAATTTGGTAGAGATTTTTCTTATCACTCTCCTTCGTGTGACCTGTATTTTGTAGCAGCAAGGTATTGATCAAATGGATTATTTTGTTTCACTTTTGTTAGGAATATTTTCTAAGAATAATGAACGTAAAAATGCTGGAAAAGTTAAGAATACTTTTTTTATTGGAAAAAATGGTAGCAGTTCTAAAGTCATAAAGGAGACTGTGAAAAGTAGAAAATGTGGGAAGTATAGATTAGTTCAGTTTATTGCATCATTTAAAGTCTTTGATTCTTAAACCAGGTACATCATTGTATTGTATTTTAAAAAATGATGGACACCTAAATAAGGAAAATGAGATAACTTTTTCTATCCTGGTTGGTGTTTGATTACTGTTAAAATTTAATCAATTGAGTAAAATCACGTAAAGTTAGTAACGTGAGTTTGTGAGAAGACATAGTAAAAATAAAATAGGATCTTTAAGGTTTCAAGCAAGTAGTGATTCAAGATGTAAGGTAAATCATAGCAAATTAGAAAATCTTAAGAAAGGGATTCATGTATCTTTTCTCTGGAAAAAGCATAATTGATATGACATTGCAGTGTAATAATCGTCTTTGGTGAATATACACATTTTTCTCTGTGTTTTTAAAGTTGAAAGGTGGATGTATCTTATGCTTTAGAATATAAAATCTGAAAATTATTTATTTAGTAAATTTAAGCTCTTTACGTGAGTTTTTATGAATTCCCATAACTTATAACAATATTTTCCAGTATTTGGAAGAGAAATGAGTAATTTCAGATTCTTTTCTTCGTAGTTCTGAAGTATACAGGCTAAATCTGGAACAAGGAAGGTTTCTGAACTCCTTGCAGACTGATGCTTCGTAAGTATCTGTAATGCATGATGGCTGTCTTTTTTCCACCAGGTGGAGCCAAACTACTAGTATGCCCACTGTCAGCATTGTCTCTGCATACTGCCTGAGTACGTTGTAAGGTAGAGTTCAGAAAGGAGCGTATGTGGAGTCTAAGCCTCGTTGTTCCAATGTCCTGTAATTCTTTATTCTGGTTTTTACATTTTAGTAGAGTTTTATTTAGTGGGTATTTTCAAATTGCTTAATACAGACTTATAACAGGTATTATATAAATTGATCTTAAGAACATTCCGTTAAACCTTTGCCGTTAATCCTTAATTTAGCCATCGTATATAGATCTACCCACAGGGCATGAACAGACATGCCTTCGTCCTTCTGCTCTTGGAATAGCCAAAGAGGTTTTTATATTGCCAACGTGTGTCTGATTTGTTTGAAATCTCTACCACAGCAGCTGCTGAGTTTCTTTTGTGTGTTGAGAGGATAGACTTGACTGATAAAGTGGCCAGGAGGTGGGCAACAGCAGGTGGTCAGTGGGTAAGAGAGCTTAGTAGCGCTGTTTAGGCAGGCAAAACTGGAGAAGCTGAGCAGCAGTAAAAAAAAGGGGGTAAGCCTGAAGAGGGAAAGTTGAGGGTCTTGTGTGAAATTTGAGTCAGACAGACTAGACTTGAAGATGCGAGAAAGTTATGAGATAGGAGAACTGGATGTGTTACGGAATTAGAGGTGGAGGGCTTTGAATAGAAGAAGTTGGGTGGTTTTGAGAAGGGTAGGAATCTGGGGTGTGAAGAGTGGCTAAGGCTTTGCAAAAATAAATTCCCATGCTTTGGAAGAGCTGTTGGAGATATATGGAGCTCCTGGGGCGCACTGTTGAGAACAGGGGAGAAGTTGGAGAGGGAAAGGAAGACAGGCTGTTGCTCAGAATATGCTGGGGATTTCTATAAGCTTCAGAGGATATGGAATCAGGAAGACCTTTTGACAAAATTGAGGTGTTTATGAATTTAGTGGAGGAGAGAGATGTGGCAAGCCTTGATGGTGGGTATGGGGAGAGAATCCTTCAGGTTGGAGGGGCGCCCAGGAAGTCTCTAGTACAGTCTCCTGCTCAAAGCACGGTCAGTCCTGAATTCAGACAAGGTTGCCCAGGGCTTTGTCCAGTTGGGTCTTGAAAACTCCAAGGATGGAGATTCCGCCACCCCTCTGGGCAAGCAGAGCAATTAAGCTCCAGTGGTAAATTATCCTCATAGTGAAAAATGTTGTCTTTACATCCAGTTGGAACCTCCTCTGTTTCAGGTTTTGAGCGCTGTCTCTGATTCTCCTTCTGTGCTTGACTCCAACTTCTTGGTATGCTCCTCTTAGGTGTTCTTAGCCTCCTTGGCTGCTATTAGGTGCTCCCATCCGCTACCATTGCTTCTCCTGGCTAAGCAGTAGTGTACCTGGTTACCGAAGTCTTTTTGGTTGTTTGTGTGTCAGGTTATTCTGAGGGCATTACGCATGCTCCTTTTTCTGTTTTAGGGAGAATAATGTATGTGACATAAATCCTACACACTTCTTGTTCGCTACAGGGACAGCTGAGGTAAATGTTCGCATTCCTTTTATAAAAAGGGTAGTAGTATTTGTTTCTCTTTTAATATTAGTTTGTGAAAAGATAAGAAGAAATCATGGCTTGTAGCTAAATAATTAAATTAATCTCATTTGCTGTCTTACATATAGAACCGTTAAACAAGAAAGCTATTTTTAGAGCATAACGTAGATACAATTTCTGAGCTATAATGGTTGCTGAGCTGCTTGAGACTGCAGATGAGAGAGAAAATAATGTTGTCTTGCCTTAAAATGCAAACATCCGTAGAAATTAGCTAGCATGTGCACCATATTAATATCTGAAAGTTTACTATTTAATGGTTTTCATTCAGATCAGTTTTTTAAAATATAAATGAAGTGTGTAGAAATTGTATGCCATTATTAGAACAGCTCATGCCAGCCTAGGAAATACGATTATTTATCCCTGAAATAATTCACAATTTTATTCAGACGTTTTCAGAATACCAGAAATTTGTTGTATAAGCTGAAAATGTATTTTCTGTACTGTTTAGGGTAAAGTGGAATGCTGGGACCCTAGAACTAGAAATCGGGTTGGGTTGTTGGATTGTGCTTTAAGCAGTGTGACAGCAGACACAGAGTGAGTAAAGGCTACCTTTATAAAATGCATTCTTTTTTTTTTTTTTTTTTGAGAAGTTTGGCCTTTAGAAACAAATCATACTTTGCATTAATGTGGCCTGCAAATAACCTCCTCATTGCTGGCGTGAATAAAGGATTCATCCTGCCTTTAGTCTCTTAGCCGTTTTTATTCAGGTTAATGACTACTTTTCAACTGTATCTACAACTACAAACTGTAAATGTAAATAATACAGCCTCTTTGAAGAAATGCGTTTCAGTGATATCAGTAAATTAATTTACATTAATTATTTTAGTTGTTTTTAACTTAAATAAATATTTGCAGCTTTTGTTGAAATAATATCTAATTATAATCTTTATGCTTTGCAGAATAGATGGTTTACCATCCATTTCAGCACTGAAATTTAATGGAGCATTGAATATGGCTGTTGGAACATCTACTGGGCAGGTAGATTTAACTTGATGTACAACAGATCTTAGGAGATCCTGTTCTTGCAATTGCCAGTCCATGCATGTCATAGATTGAATATGCTCACTGTGATATGAGTATTAAATAATAAGAGCATGAATTGCATGTATAGGGTGTAATAGTCATTCTTAAAGTGCAGATTAATCTGATCAGATGGTCTTGTGGTTCAGAATACTGTAGGGACAGCTTAAAATCATCACAACATACATACTGTATAATTTCAAATTCTGCTGTTTTCTTTCGACTTAACCGTCAAGCATTTGAGGAACTTGCTGCTTTTTGTGGCTCTGTCAGTACCATCTCAGTGCAGCATACGTACTCTCTTTTATCTTGCTTGTGACTAGAGAAGCAAAGTGATTGTCGTTCAACTATTATTTTTTGCTTTCTTATCTTCTGGGCATAATAGGGGATCATTCCTACTCATTTATTCATTTTTACCAATGTATTTGTAAACTAGAGTGCAAGGATTTTTTTCTGTCTTCAGTCTTTTCATGAGGTTAGAAAACTGCAGCTTGTTCAAGAGCAGATGCACATGTGAGAGTTGTAGCTGTGATGGTCTTCATATACATGTGAAGCAAGTTTTATTGGAGAATATATTTTTTTTATAAAAAACTTAGTAACACTTCTTCCCCCAAAGTATTAGTATTCACACTTTGCACGTGAAAGATTTAAGGTATTCCTCAAGTTTCTTAGGCAGTTTTTGAAAGCAAAATGCAGGTGTCTGGAAGACATGGCCGTTTTCCTAAAAATCAAAAACAAACCCACTGTGGTGTTTTACTGAGTGAAAGTGACACTCAGTGAATCTAGAAGGGCTTCTGAAAATTTAAATTTTATAAGAATAGTGCAAGAATCTGGAAGCGAAATATTGGTAGTTAAGAGATACTGAGAGCCCTGAAAACAGCTCATTTTTCGGTACAAATTAAAAAGACTTTGGAAAGACGGTAAGGTCTCAAGTTTACCCTTTATTTTTCTAGACTGAAGCATGTTGTCGGTTAAAATAAAGTGTCAGAGTAAACTGGACTGGTTTAGTAAGCCGTTCTTCAGAACTTAAAATGATTTCTCCTATATAAATCTTGCTGTGTGTTTTAAGTAAAAAATCACAACTTTATTTAAATCGTTAGTGAAGAATTGTTTTAGGTGACTTCCTCTTGATCTTACAATCTTATAAATTAAATCTGTTTTTTATTCTTCTAGGTTTTATTATATGATCTCCGGTCTAGTAACCCATTAATAGTCAAAGATCACCAGTATGGCCTGCCTATTAAGTCAATTCAGTTTCAGCATCAATTAGATTTAATTATCTCTGCAGATTCTCGAATCATAAAAATGTGGAACAAAGATACAGTAAGTGTTTTTATGTTGTTGCATTTATATCTTATATTTTCTTTTTTTTTTCTATCTGCAGTTTGAAGTTAAATAATAAAGCTTAAATTCAGTGTAGGAATTTGAGTTTTTTCATGTATCCTAGTTTACGTAGTATTTTGTCCTGTCTGACTAAACAAACCAACATCTGGGAAGGTATTCAGCAGCCTGCCGGGTATAAAGGTACTATCTTAGTTTTTTTTCTAACTTTTTGTTAAACATCTGCCTAAGTTGCTGCTTTAAGTAGAAGGTTTTAAAAATAGAAGGTGGTATCTTAGCCATTGTCATGGTTTGTGCGTTTCCTCATGGTCTGCTTGAACACATTCATTTCTGATTTTTTGTCAGAGAAAAATTGGTCATCTACTCCAATTTCCTGCTCAAGGCAAGACTAACTTCCAAGGTAGATCAGTTATTTCGTAAATAGTAAAATCAGGTACTGCTTGTTTCCACAGAAAACTATTCTGATGGTGAAGCAGACATTATACCTACATCCAAGTTGCTGTGCGCATTACGCTGTATTAATGGATTATGTTGTAGCAGAGAACATCTTCATCCTTGCCTTTTGCCCTTCTAAATGAGCTTTGCAATGATGAGGTTTTGTTTCATTATGTTGTACTATTCTTTTTCTTATCTTTCTATGAGTGCAGCTTGCACACAATGTGCTAACCCATAGATATCCATAGTAATACTACTGTAATTTAGTTTGGTTTAAGAGGCTATCTTTAGTCATTGTATTCCTTCTAAAAACATACTCTATCCTGTATCTATGCTTTTCTAGCTTTATAATGAAATATATCAAGAGCATTAAAGTAATTTAAAGGCATTTTTTCTAGCTATTTCAAGCAGTCATTTTTCTATTGTTGTGTTTCTTCATGAACTTTCAACAGCCTCTCTTTTTTTTTCCTGTGATCTCAAACAATTTTTTGTAAGCTCCTCTGCAGTTACTTTTTATTGTTTGAAAGGGCAAATAAATTATCGGTTATTATTTACAATATCTGCAGTGGCCTCTCTCCATTTTTCTTAGGCATATATATTTCTCTCATTGAGAAATAAACACTATAAGGTTTGTCAGGTGGCCTCTGCAGTGGGAAAAGGGAGGATTTTTTGCTGCTGGAAGGCAAAGATAGCTTTGGACTCTTTCCTGGAGTATGTTCCAGCTGGCTCCACCTCTCCCAGATGTTGGTTCCTGACTATCTCTGGCTGGGAACCAACTGCAGAGGCAGACTGTGGGGTGGAGAGCATATGGCTTTGATACCAGAATAGCCCCATGCTGAGACGTGCCTTGGGGTGGGGATCATGAGGCTTTTGTCTGCTAAGACTGGGGTGGGGGAGGACTCTTATTAATCATCGGGGAGAGACCAGAGGTGGGTGGGGTAACAGCATATAACTGGGAGGGAAAGGAAAGGCCCAGAAAGGTAGGTGGGATTGCTGCAGGGAAAGAAAAAAGAGGAATAGGATCAAAATTTGTTCTGTTCCTGTCCCTCATTTAGAACCATGTAGACATGTACACTCATGCTTCAGAATCTGTGGCCAGTTCTTAGAGGCTCTTCTTTTACTAGCTGTCTTGTGTGTTGGCATATAAGAGCACCTGTATTTTGTCTGGGTTTTTCAGACGCTGTTCCAAGTCTTATTTTTTTGAGAATGTTGTTTCCTGCTCTTACCTTTTACTTAAATAACTGTCACAACTTCAATTCTAATCTTTCTAAGTTAGATACAAGTGAGTGCTTTTATTCAGACCTCTATAATACTGACTTGGTAAAATGCAGATAGCGTAAAGTGTTGTGCTGTACCTTGTTTTTATGTAGACATGAGCACGGTGGAGGAACCAAGGTCCAGAATCAAATTCCACTGCCAACCTATCATTTCAGCTGATATACTTACTAAAAATGAAACAATTTAAAACTACGACATTCAGACTTGGACAAAACAAGGTCTGCACCGGTAGCGTGCCAGGAACTTATGGACCTTACCCTGCTTGCATAAAATAACGCAGAGCAGATCTAACGTTTGTGTTTTCAGCGCAGAAGTTGGGGCAGAGAAAGTACAGGTCTCACTGTACCTCGCTGTGTCTTCGGTAACCAGCACGCTACACTTCCTTGTAAGAGATCTGATCAGTGACAAAATACAGCATTGAACTCCATACATTCGTCTATCTTTAGTCCGTATTTCTTAGCTTCTATAATGGCTGTTGTTAACATTCACATTTACTGCATTTAACTATATTGTTTGAATTGTTTGTAATATATTTTCTTCCTACGATTTCAGGGGAAGATATTTACTTCAATGGAGCCAGAATATGATATCAATGACGTCTGTCTTTATCCAAATTCAGGTACATTAGATGTATTAAGTAAGTTCAAAAGAGAAAGCCAATGTTGCCCAAAGCTGTGATCTTTTTTCTTATTTAGGTGATACAGATTAGGCCTAATTTCTTCCTTATGTCAGATCTAGATAAAAAAGGCTACTTATCAGTTAGTGTCCCTGTTTCCTCTGCATCTGTGTTAAATTGATGTCTCTTTGTAGTTAAAAGCTACTAACTATGCTGTCAACTGAATGATCAGCCTCTTTTGCCCTTTCAAATATCGTTAAGTCTTTCATAAGAATAGGAGTTTTGGCTTTTTTTCTGGTCTCAGTCCCAAATGAATCAGAGCTTTCTTTCTAGAGCTAGTAGAAGCATCTTTATAACAGGACTGTGAAGTTCTACAACTGTTTACAAATATTTGATCTTTCCTGTTTGTAGATCTAGCGCTTGCTGTGCCCAAACTTGAATAGTTTGTTTAAAATTTTAGAATTCTAAGTTTTTTCTAGGATTTCCAATATGTTAAATTTTAGATTTCTGCATGCACAGATTTGCATGTTTATTGTGACTGTCTTCAAATTTGCTGTGTCTCATAAGCTTATGTGTGAAGGTCAAAACAGTCATTTTAACCAAGGTTTCTGGATCTTACTTTCTGAGAAAAAACTTTTTACCACATGGTGGTTATATGTGCACATGGGCTTTGGTTGTACCTGAGATTGTAGCTGGCTTTAATTTTCCCGACTTGATTTAGGCTGATTAGTTCTTAACTAGTATATGACACCTAATTCATGTTTGGAAAGCAGTACTGAAGAAGATGAAAGTTAAGTTCTCAAAAATGGCACAGGACAAAATTCTTGATCCAGAGAATGCCTGTGTCGCAAACTCTGCTCTTATCTTAATTTTAGATAAAGGTAGCAGTGAAGACAAAGTGACTTGGGCTTTGATTCATACTAGCAGCTGAAAATCAAGATTGTAGATAAGTGAGTTTGAGATTTCTAACAAGTTAAAACTTATCTTGTCTTTTCTGCCAAGTTTGCTTAAGAATGTATCCTTTTTTCCTGCAAAATTAGTATTTAAATATTGAACACCACTGAGGTGCTGGGCATTTCTGAGCTCGTACTGTAGCAAAACTCTAAGGGTCTACAGGATCTTACTGATAAAAATATTAGCTCAGTTCTATACTGCTCAGAGCTAACCCCTCTGAAACAGAATGATGCTTCACTACTTAGCAATTGGGTCAAGTTTACTGAGTCCTCAAAAAGACATCAGAGTGCCAGAGAGAATGCGAGCAATGAGTCAAAGCATGCCAGAAGAGGGGCTCTATGGCACAATGCTGAGGGTACATATTGCATGCCTTGGTATGAGTTAATTTGGGGATGTTTGAGAATAGCTGTGATAACAATGTGGACTGTATAACATGGAGGTAGCCAAACGTGGCCTTGTCTCATCCATAGTGCATACAAGGAGAGGCCATTGAAGTGAATTATCCTTAGAACCTCATCCCGGTTTTATCTCTGAGGAGCTAATTGAATTGATCCAAAAAGAGCCCTGGAGCGGATTAACAGTCCTGCAGTGTTGATAATTGAGGGACCATGAGAAAGAGTGAAAAGCAAGCAGGTTATTTGTCAATGGTGATAGTCAAGCTTGGCAATTATCTTATTATAATCTAGTTTGGAAGGGAACTGTGGGGGGGTCATACCTTCTCTGCTCAAAGTGTGGCCAACTTTGAAGTTAGATTCAACTTCCAAATCTGATCAGGTTGTTCAGCTCGTACTCAGTCAGGGATGGATATGTGTAAGGTTGAGTGTTCCACAACTGTGGATGTTCTACGACCTCTGTGGTATGTAGACATACCGTAAGTGCTCTTGGAGATGTGGGCTTAAATGGTTTTCATGAGACTCTGCAGGAGGAGTCTTTGAGCACAAACAAGTAAATGCAGATATCTCCCTAATGTTGCTTATTGGGCATTGTTTTCTTTTAAGGGTCTCAACCCAGTGACCTAGACTATGTATTCCAGTCCTATGTTCTATGTCTTCTTCTTAAGTCCATTCTGCTTCTTTCGTCTTGGACTATGTCTACAGAGGGCAGGTTGAGGTATGCCATTTCGCAATAGCTGTTGTGGGATGAAACTGGGTTGTATTTTTATAGCCCTGTAGAGCCAGAGGGAAAACTAAAACGTGTTACAGGAAAAGATTAAGGGACCAAGGTAAGAGGTGGTGCATTGCGTATTTGCTAAACAATACTGTTAAATGAACAGTACCATTGCTAAAGAAATACTGTTGCTGCAGAATGTGAGATGCTTAGCACTTCCTCATCCTCGTTCCAATTTTGAAGAATAATTAAATTCCTGAGAATCAGGAAATGCTTTCAGTAATATGAACTTCCAGGTGTGGGAATTGAGAAATAAAAAATCACGTTAGCACCAGTAGAGCTGTGAACGTGCTGTCTTTGGTCTCAGAGCATCCTTGGATGTTTGCTAAGCTAGCATGGAACTGCAAATCCCAAGAGATCCTTGCCTAGGCTCTGCTCTAATACTTTATGCGAAAGTACTGCTCACAAAGCCCCTACCGTAATCTTACCCATATGCTCTTATATTCACTTAAACATAATTTTTGCTGTTCATCATTGCATAGGAGAAGACACTTGCATATTTTATTTTACTGATGTGGGTCAAAGTTCAAATTTTTTTTTAATGAGAAGCACATGTTTTGTGTCAGACTCGAAGAAAATAATTTCAGAAACGTCATGAATGAGAAGGGCTTGAATTTACCTTTATAATGCTTTTGGGGGGAAAACTGTTTTTTAGTATGTGTAGATACTTTTACATTTTGTATTTATAATTTAATGGTAAGAGTTGTAATATTGTAATTTTATTTTAAAAGCACAAAAGGTAGCTGCTACTTCATATTAGTTGCAGCCCTTTTCTACAGCAAAATGTCTTTTGCATGTACTGTAATGAAATACGTTAGTGCTGCATTGTCAGAATTATAAAACAATAACAAAATAGAATGGAAAACAGAAACTGCGTCGAAACATAAAATATTTGGAAATATTAATGGTAAATTATGGATCAGTTTAATGTGAAAAACTTGTTCTTGAATAAGTTGAAAAAATTTGTATTTCTGTTTTTTTAAGTAAATGGTTTTTACCACCCAGCTTCAGTGCTGCTACCTTTCAAAGGGAAGCAAACGCTTGTGCATCACTAATCAAACTACATGATGACGAGGTTTATTGCATCTCTTAAAGTAATTATCGGTCTCTTTTCTTAATCCCACATGCACAGAATAGGGTCGGAGGAGAAAAGGTTTGCCATTATTGAGTAACCTTGGCTCAGCTTCAGTTAAGTTGTAGAATATAGATGGAACCTAACAGCATTTCAGTGGATAAAAACTTGTGCCTCATTTGTTTCAATTATTGTAAAACTATTTAAAAGGAAAAGCAAAAACTTCTACTTTCTCTAAAAACGCTTCTCTCGTTTAATATCGCTCCATACTTGTATTTTTTAATCCCCTTAAGGTAATAGTACTGTATTGTGTACCACTTTCCTAGGATGGTCCTATTAAAACCTCTTCTCTGGAAGAAAGAGTTCTTATTTATTTCCCTCTGAAGTATCTTGCAAGTGATCAAAGTACACTGTTTTCCCTTTAATAATAGGTGGAAGACTCTCAAAGATGAGGCTTTCTCTTTGCTGTCATCTTTGAAGCACCTGTAGAATTCATTTCTATCATCTTGACTCTAGTGTTTTTATTCAGTAAATGGAGAAATGCTTTTTCTCCTGTAGTAGTAACGAACATGCTGATACAGTAAGGGAGCTCTTTCATAATTCATGGAATATGTGCTGTAAATTCTTACTTTTTCCCTAAACTGCCTGCAAACCTTTCCAGGTTTGATTTTTAGCCTGTTTGCTGACTAAGCTTTCACAAATTTCTTGCTTTGCCAGGAAAGCAAGCCCCCTTTTTTCCAACATTGAGAGTCCAACTGCATTGTATATTTTTAATAAAAGGATTAGGTAGGAAGGATTACCCCACCCAAGTTAATTGCGTTCCTCTAGTTGGGTGTAAATTATATTTCTGCCCTCTGGGTGTGTGGTAATTGACCCCATTATTCATAGTCTCAGTGGCATATGTTACAGTATTCTTAGATCAGGAAGTTATCTAACTTGATTGCTTCTTTTCTTCTTTTTCATGCTCCATCTTCTTGTAATACATGATGTTTAGCTACATAGAAAAGTCAAAATTGAGACAAACGAAGTATATGCCAAATGTCCTTACTATGCTCTCATGTAGAAGGAAATTGAGATTTTTCCTCTTTTGAAGTTGTCCTGTGACGGTTCTGGATTTTCTGTGAACTTAATATTTGTACAGTAGATTTTTTATATTCAGGGTATTTGCAATCATTACTCACAGTATTTCTTTAAGAATGGGTACTTCAAGTTTTACGTTTGCCCCAGTTTATTAATATCATTGGAATTACTACGTTTGAAGCCACAATATCCTGTCTCTCATGTTATGTTGACAATCTATCCCTGATTTCCCAAGATGAAATATATAGACACCTGTAAACCATGCTATAATTTATGACTTTGTTTAGACTATATGTGTGTATTTAAAAACAAACCAAACCAAAACCAACAAACCCCCTTGTATTATTAATACCAGTTTCTGTCCACGGTTTTAAGTGCAATACTAACTGGAATTATTCTAAACAGTAATATGGGATGAACTATTTAATTTGTTATGAAAATTGACATTCTGCAATCGTCAGAACTTAGTGTTGCTTGAAGTGGTGATGACCTGCTGTTAAGTTAGAGGACAAAAGGCATAAACGTATAGGAAACTAAGCTGCCTTATTGTGATGCTATCACACCTTTCTTTCCGTAGCATATGAGGCAGGAACTTATTAGGGCGCCCAATTAGCTGTTCCATTGCAGGTCCTGAATAGGTGTTCTATAAGCTACAGGTAATGTGATTTCGGCCCTCTACCCCCAACCTATGGAGGGTTTTTTCCCACAAATATTCATAATTCCACTCTAATAATTATTTTTTGCAGCAATAAATTTTCCATGTTTTTTTTCTCTATTTTCCTAGAAAGATACTGTAAGCCCAGCTTGTCTATGAAATGAATTTTGAATTAACATACAGATTTACTTAATATAAAGTAAATGCCTCAAATACGTGTGTTTTCAAAAAAGTAAAGTTATCTTTTTATGACCAATATTTTTAATGTGGAAATCTCTTTTTAGGAATGCTAATGACTGCCAATGAAGCCCCTAAAATGAATATCTATTATATTCCAGTAAGTAATACAAATTAACTTTACATTCTTAAAAATACTGTTAAGCAAATATATTGCTCTTTTAAAACTGTCCATAGTTTGGTGCTGTTAAAGTTTTCATATTGGAAAATGATTTCTGCAAATTCACGTATACGTTCTCTGACTTCTCACGATAAAGTAGGTTTAAGCTAACCGTAATTTATTCATATAATATATTATTAAAAACCAATCTTTAAACTTGCCTTTTGTTACCAGTTCCAAAACTGGCTAGTGGCAGTAGGAAATGCAGGTGGAACTTTTAACAGAAAAAAATTGCTGCTTTTTGATCCACTGATCAAAAAAGAATGATTAAATAGGGACTGTATAGCTTATTGTAAAGATAATTTTGCTTTGTTGTGAAAGATTTCGTTAGTGTCTTTGGTGCATAGTATATAGTGACATAGTCATCGCAGGAAATATTTTTCTCTGTTCTGAAAGAGGAATTTTATTGTGTGGCTTCACGCGTGGTTTTTAGCAGTGCGTTCTACTGAATGTCGTATTTGAATGAAAACTTCTCACTTGAGAATATATGCACTTGAAAAGCTTAACTACGTGTTCATTTCTGAGGATTGATTTTGGGGAGACAATCGCAGCCACCCTTCTGGTGTTCATATGGGAGATTGCACAGAAAAATACACCTGCATTTCAATCTAGTTTTGTTTTTTGACTACACGGGGCATTCACTAGGATTTTTGGCCGGGTGGGATAGAAATACTTGGATATGTATGAGAATATTACATGCAGAGGAGCAGACTGGACTCTGAAAATATGTACACTTTTCCTTCAGTTATTTTATTCGCATGCTGGACAAATTTTAAAATTTATTTATTTTTAAAAATATTTTAAATGTGGTTTAAATCATCAGCTAAGAAATAAAGAATTTTAATTTTTTGTTCTTTTTTTTCCCCCGTATGATTTTGGTTTCACTTAAGGCATATAGTTGCAGCAGTTTACGTTTTTCTTTGTACAGTATACACTATATACATTTTGTATATACATGTCTACACACAACTATGTACCTCTCTAAACATTTTTACAGTCCAGATCATATTTACATGTATTATTAGATATTTACATTTTTAAAAAGTACAAAATTTTATACCAGAGGTTTTTTTTGTGGTTTTTTTTGTGTGTACCCCACCTCTCTGGGTTTTTTTTTTTTTTGGGGGGGGGGGGGGGGGGGACTATCTTCTTTTT